GTTAAGGCATGAGCTGACAAATTCTGAATCTGCCTTATGCTTATTTTTTTTTTTTTTTTTTTTTTTCTTTTTTTTTTTCTTTTTTTTGTAATTTCGGAATGGCAAATGCATTTTGTCAAGTGCAATCTAGCAAGTAAAAAAATGGTAGTTAGTTTTCTTCAACATGTGCTTCCCTATTTGCTTGTGACAGTCCCCAAAACTGGAAACAGATGTTTCATTTGTTGAGAGTGAGGCTTTTCTTCCTACCTGAACAGTGTTACTTCTTTCCCATGTTTCTGTTGGTGCCTGTAAAGACTTTCTGTTGCTGTTTTTACTTTCATTTTTTTCATACTGTAGTCACAGATTACAGTGTTATTACAGACTGGAGAATGGGTTTTATTAGGTATCGATTTAATGAGATGAAAATCACCTTGTAAAAATATGGTGTATTTTATTTGATTTTTATATATATATTTTTTTTAATTTCTAGTTTGCACCCGAGGGGCCTGTCTTTCTTTTCGTGCTCAATTGCAAGGCAATAAAATACACTTGGTTAAGTGTTAGCTCAGTGTTGCTGGGCTTGGATGTACACCATTGCAAAATAAGAACTTTATCTTCTTCTGCAAAATATTGGGGCTTGAAAGACAGAAAATTACTTTTAATTCTTGGGAAACAGGTTGGCACAGGCCTGATTTCTAGCATTATATGCACAAGCTTCATATGTGCAGGAAATCTGCACGTGAAATATAGCACTTGCAAGTATCTGCATATCTGAAATAGTTAAAAATAGGGTCCAAAACTAGTTCCAGGGAGTTCCTAGTTTCTCAAGTCAGGTTGGATTTTTGAATTTTCCCTGCTTGACTGATGTTCCGCGCTGCACTGTCTGTCGTTGAGTAATGCTGCCTCTCTGTTTCTGCAATGCTGCACTGGTGATCCAAAAGCTTCAGCACCTATGACACTAACTGCCCATCTGCATCCTTCTACATACAGATTGCCCGATCCACAGCGGACTCACGTGATGTGGGGAATAAGCAAGGTGGGTGCTGGTTTCCACCGTGCCGCAGCTTCCC